TTGAAATGAGAGAGATATCCACGATTATAGAACTTACAAAAACCCTATAGTTATCTAGTATTGATATATCTCGTTTTCTGTAGTAATGTCTCAAAAAAAAATGTATGATCTTGGAAGGAACACCGGGTAATCCAACGAGTTTACCCCGACCGTAGAAAAACTGTTCCTTATAAAACTCAACAATATCAAATTTAAACTTTGGTTTATTATATCGACACCACCGCAAATAATGATTCTCATGAAAAATAAACCCTGATATGAGAAAGAGGTTCGATTTTAATATTTTGCCCACACCGTTAAATTAAGGCAAAAATTAACTGGCCAAAACTTGAACCACGTGAATCCATTTTCGAGACACCACTCCTCATAAAGGTTCTCATAAATGGTAAACCCCCACGCAAAAAAGTTTAATTTTTAATATTTTATGGTTAAAATTTTTCGTAGAAGCAATAAAGCTTAAAAATTAATCCTAAGGAACTCGGATCACATAATTATATATTTTTTAGATCCTGTCATGTCTACGGGTTTTTTATGGCGACAGAGTTTAATTTGCAATTTTATATGACGAAAGCACACACGCACAAGTATATAGATTATGATAATATGAAAAGAGCATTAATTATGTTTTCATGAAAAATAATCGTTCGCATAAAGAATGTATAATTTTTTGTGTATTATGATGAAATTAAATGAATGACTGCATTATATGTGCACATCTAACCGTCCGACTTGCCGAACTTTGGTGCCCCTACCTATAAGGTGAATGCCTAAATTTCTGCATTCCAACCATGTTGGCTGTGATACTTATAATTCATATAACTTTATATTAATTTTATCTTCAATCGTTAAATAATCGAGAAAATTGAGGGAAATCCAAGGCTCGCAAGAATAAAGTAAAATTATATACTACAGTCGGGCCTATAAGACGATTTATACGTAAATATATATGGGAACATAAATAAATACATATTTCTCTACCCAAACCCTCAATCATTATTGAAGTAAATTTAAACAGATTTTACACCTACAATGAATCTTCACATGTGCGTGGGAAATCTTGAAATAAACGATTTCTGACACGATGCATGATCCAAAAAATAAATGTTGGAAAAACTGTATTTGAATTAAGAAATAAAAGCAACTTGCTTAGAAAAAAATACGCAATTGTTATCCGAATTCCAAAGGGCAAACAAGTTTTTGTTTTTCATATTGCGCCAAATGTCACCTCATAGCAAGATCTTGGGAAATTTAAACCTATTGTTTGAGACCAAATTTTGACGTACAAATAGATCATTCTTACTCCTCGAATGTTTTAGCAGTCTTCTAATCTACGATCTAATGAGATTGGTTAATCAATAAATTAAAATATGTATGCCTTTACTTATTTTCCGCACAACTAGATAAAAATACTGCGATTATATTTTCTTCCATTTTCTGTATACTTTTCTTTCATACTTTCTTTCAATTTTTCAAAATTTTCTTTTTATCTGTTATTATAATAATAAAGCACTGCGACCTGCTGAAAAGTAGATCGCAAACCATGTCATGTTTTTGTAGTCACCACGCTTCTGCTTAAATGTCAGGAAAGTAACCGAGTAAGCAAGCGACCATGAGGTAGCCAATAAAATCTAATCATTTAAGCAGATTTGAAAATTAAACTCTGTCCAAAATTGAACTTATAAATTGTGAAGAAAGAGAAAAAAAATGTTGTAGGAATACAATTTTATTTTAGATATTTAGCTAAGTTGAGGAAAATTAATTCATGTCTCATTTCGAGCACGATGTATCGTAACTTCCTTTTATACTTGTTCGTTGAAAAGCAGAAGAACAATCGTGACGCACAAGAAAGCATCACTATGAAACGGGAGAGAAAGGCTTTGTGGCATGCTTCCAACCCCTTAACGTTACCTCAAAACGTCATTGAATGCATTGATGAAATAAATATATGCTTTTCAAAACCGGCGGAAAATGTAGCAATATTCATTAATCGGAAGAGAAAATACAGGCGAACTGGTAGTAAATAGTCCGAATATTTGTATATTAGAAACTTCTTTTATTTATGAAATGAAAATCATAGCAGTCGTATCGCAAAGTCTGCAAATCTTCCCTCTGTGTTTTAATATCAAACGATGCACCTTATAGTTTTTAAGTGCCAAGGTGGTGGCTTTATGAGAGGAAAGCTCATGTCATTGCTGAGCTAATTACTTCGGGAGATATGGGCGGGTTTCAAATCTTTGTCCCACGGACACCCCACATCTAAAAGAAATTCACTTGCTTCACCCTTGTAGAAATAAACGGACGGACGAAAGCTATTTACCGAGCGCGCAGATCATAATCCCATGGCCGTTCTGTTCTCTATTCTACCTATGGTCTCCTTTGGCCCACGATTTGCAATAGGAGACCCGTCTAACTTACTTTCCTCTCACACCTCGTCACATTTTTACATATATATTTTTTTTCTATTCTTTTTAATTCGTGTTAGTTTTAAGAGCAAAAACAATATCAATATCTTTACATTAAGCAAGCTACCCATATCCTATAAATAACTCGGTTTCAATTCCTAACTTGGTTATTTCGGAAGATGACGTTTTTAAAGGGTTGAGTTCTCTAAAATATAGTCGTACGCCTGAACCTGATGGAATTCCATCATGTGTACTTAAATCTTGCGCTGTCGAGTTATATGGTGTTATGTCAAAGATTTTTAACCAGTCTTTGAATTTAGGTATTTTCCCTCTGTGTTGGAAGAGTAGTTTCCTTATACCCATTCACAAAAGTGGAAATAGACAACTTGTTGAGAACTACAGAGGCATAGCCAAATTGAGTGTCTTGCCTTAGTTGTTTGAGCGAATTGTGACTCAGCATTTGGCCTTTGCCAATAATTCGTATATTTCTCCGCACCAGCACGGCTTTCGGAAAGTGCGATCTATGGTCACCAATTTGTTAGAGTTTACTTGCCACTTTTTCAAGGCTTTTTCTAGTGGCTCTCGCATAGATGCAATATGCACAGATTTAAGCAAAGCGTTTGATTTGGTTAACCATAACTTACTTATCTTTAAACTCCAAGCCTCTGGCTTCCCTTTCTACTTAGTGAAATGGATAAGCTCTTATCTGCACAATAGATCCTTGTTTTTGATCCTGGGTTTTGTTTAACTTCATCACCTCGAATGAATTCCCCATTATGTCTGGCGTACCTCAAAGAAGTCACTTAGGTCCCAATTTATTTAGTTTATACATTAACGATCTTCCATCGGTGGATAATTCCAGCCAGATCTTAATGTATGCCGATGATGTGAAACTGTTTTCTTCCTTCTCTGTTGAATCGCAATCACATCAGCTTCAAGATGACTTGGATAATTTTGTTGCATGGCGCTCTCTGAATCTTCTGAAACTAAATCTGAGTAAGAAGCTTTCTTTCTCAAGAAGAAAGTCATTCATTACTCAGTATTTCATAGATTCGCATAAGTTGGAGGATGTCGATTCGATCACAGATTTAGGCGTTCTGTTTGACCATAGGTTACTTTTTAACTTGCATATTGAGCTCTCTATAAGCAAAGCTAGGTCCGCGCTTGGTTTTATAAAAAGGTGGTACAAGGCGCTTGATGATCCCTACATTACGAAAAGGGTGTACATGTGTTTGGTTAGACCCATACTCGAGTATGCCTCTATTGTGTGGTCTCCTTCATATAGGTGCTATGTAGATTCAACTGAATCTATCCAAAAGCATTTCTTGGTGTTTGCCCTTAGAAATTCGGGTTGGGGTTCGATCGCCTCTCTTCCTCCCTATGAAAATAGATTGCTTCCCATCTCTTGAGAAACGTAGGTTTGCTCTTGGCGTTTCTTTTGTAATCACAGTAATAAATGGTATTGACTCGCCTTCATTATTTGGTGAAATAAGCTTTAATGGACCTAACCGCTTCTCTAGGCACTTTATCTTCGTTAAGCTTAGTCAATATAAATATAATTATAAGCTGCTTAACCAGCTCAGAGTTTTTTGCAAAAACCTGAATGACGTCTATCACTTTTTTTCATTAACGGACTGTTTAAAGTTCATTAAAGCGACATTGCTTAATACGCGCGCTTTACCTATGTCATACTTAAACTAGCTTTTAACCTTAAGAAGTCGTTACGATCGGTTGCCAAGCTTATGCATGTTTGCGATGGCTTAGGGTTCATTTGCAATTTGGTCCTGTACCGGTTGTAAGTGTGGCTCTATGTTGGTTGTGTACATGCTTTTTTTCTTTCTTATTTGTTTTATTGTACTTATACTAAGTTTTAATATTAATTAATATAAGTTTTGCTTTAAGTGCCAATTGAACGCGACTGTTATTTGTTTAGTTGAGTTTCATGTATAAGTAGAATTAAAATAAATAAATAAATAACTAAATAATTAAAAGGGGACAGATTAAATAATTTGTAAGTATACTTACTCACATAATGTTATGTACTAAGCAAACCATATATATACGTTACCCATGTAAAAGGAATACAATGGAAAAGCCTCCATGCCGACTGTTTGCTGCTGCAGAAGATGACATTGATATTGAAGATGATGAAGTTAATAATGAAGTTGATGTAGTAACGAAGAGTAAAAAATAGTTTATTGTTGTCTGCTGTAAATGTTTCGTACACAATTCAGCATGAACAATTCATTAAAAAATAATTGTGTTACTTCAAGTTTATTTTCAATACTTTTTTCTTTATTCACTCTGGCTTTAATATGCCGCTTTCAAAAATCGTTTTTCTATCTCGAAGGCGGAAATGGTGTCGTAAGGTATTGTTGAAGCATTTGTTATTGTTTATGAATTATTGGCATTTTTCAATGTACAAACAGCATTGCTTTACACAAATTCACGTATTCATCTATATTTATGTATACAACTCTATATATACGTATTCATCACACATTTTTACATATTTATTTTAATTTCTCCTCGCTACACACATAAAAAATTTCGCCTGCCCTTGTACAATATATTTAATTTCATTATAACTGCGACTTTTTTTAAAAATGTTCTTATTTACACGTCGGATTTTATTAAGCGCAGCTATCTAGTCTAATTTAACACTCATTTGGTTAAGTTTCGATAAGAACAGTAGGTTTTATAGCGTAACATAGGTTTTATAGCGTAATTGTAGGTGACTACACCTTTTATTCTAATGCTCGACGTGACTATAACTCCCTGAAAAATATATGTTACAGAAATTATTTGCATTGTATGATGAGACAATTGCTAGCAAACACCAAATTTTTTTTTTGGTTTATTGATTCGAAACGGAACGACAAAAGGTTCCCTTCGGTGATGCCGTATGCAAACTCCGAATCATCTAATTCGAGGGTGATTGCCAATTATATAAATTATACATAAACAATACTACTGCAGACAGCTGCCGCCGATAAGCTATCCATGTCCTACTGATTCGTTTAATGTAGTCCTTCCCATAAAAGTCACAGATGGTACTTCTTCTCACTATAGCCTCTTAAACGTGTGGTGTACCCAGGGCCGGATGGGACCGAAGGATGATATTAGTAAATACAGAGAGATAGCGAGACTTAGTGTTTTGTCTAAATCCTTCGAGCGCCTTGCTATTAATCGGCTTTCCAAATTATTGAGCTCCATCTTGTTAGTAACACAACATGGTTTCTCTGGCATTTGTATGCTTTAGATTTCACTGGGAAAATATTTAAAGATTTGGGGAACGGAAGCAAACGGATGTTGTCTACACTGATTTTTCGAAAGCAATTGACAGAGACGGACATAACCTTTTCCTTCTAAAACTGGGAAGACCTGGTTTTTCAGATACTACGACACGCTGGTTTCGTACATATCTATCGGAACATACGCAAATTGTTAAACATTGTTTAATTCTTTTACTTAAGATTTCATCTGTTGTGCCCCCAGGTAGCAGATAGTTGCAAACGAGCTTCCTTCAAGTATCAAGAAGTCGACGTGCTTGGTGTTTGCGAGCGATGTCAAAATCTTTCGTTTATTTAATTCTGTTAGTAGTACGGTTGACCTTCAGTCTCATTGAATTAAGTTGGTTCAATGGTGGCGGGCTTTCTTAAGAGTCGGTCAAAGGTATTCTATGACCCTTACAAAAGGATTATATACTACTCTTGTTTGACCAAACTTTGCAGTCCGTATACCAAGTTATAGATGTCGCAGTGACCTAATCGAATCGTTACAACGAAGCTTATTACTTTTACGCTACAGAGATTCGCCTGATAACTTATGAAGATAAGTGATGTCTCATCGACTTTCTCACACTGAAAAATAAAGGCGTGATGCTGGAAGCTGCCTTCATAGTTAAAATTATTAAAGGTATAATATCTTCTTCGTTTTTACTTCGGAGAATCCCACTTAATGTGCCCATGACGCAATTTACTTGTCTTACTGCCGCGCAAACTACCAGTTTCAAAACTCTTTTCGGTTTCTTTTTACGACGTACTAATCTTTACTTGTTTGATCCATTGCTGGACTCTCTACATGCCATCAAGGGTCTGCTTTTTTTATTTTTGCACAGTTTATGGAGCTCATCTTTCAACAATACTGACCACTTTGTATAACCGTATAAAAATATCTTAATAATACATGCAAAGTGTACATTTAACTTCTTGTGTGACATAAAGATGCACCTAGACTTGCCGACCTAATTTTAAATAGTATGATATAATATCCCTTTAAATATATGATATAATCCAGATATTTTTTTACGTTTAATAGACTTTTTCATGTTATTTACACTTTAAATTAATGGGAGGTTGCCATTCAAGTAGTTAACTCCCGACAAATTTTAAATAAATCAGTCGCAGAAAATTTTTATCCACTTATAGTCAATGGTTCAATCGTCGATTAATATCGTCTCATTTATTGATGATAGATTTGATGTATGCGTTGTTGACACAGAATTGAGGGAGTCAATTAACTGATCGGACGCAACTGATGCCATCACCTTGTCCTGGCGTGCGGATTTTCTACGCATTAAAGACCTCTTATACTAGAAATTATATTTCAAATATTTATTAACCGCTTTTTGAAAGAAGATGGGTTCTCAATACATACATTTTGCATTTGCACGTCTTGGCTAGCTGGTAAAAATTTCCATTGTACAGGTACTTTATTTTTACCTTCGATATTTTTGACATATCTAAGCAAAAAGCATAAAAATGGAAGCAGGAAGAAAATAAAAATATGATCACTTACTTGTTCAGGGAAATAGACATGCTTTTCATGTTTTCAAAATGCTCTATACTTCCATTTGGCAACCTCACATAATAATCATTTTTAATTCGCTTTGATATGAAACGTTGACCAGGAGCTACAACATAACCATATTTTACATACGACGGAGGAGCAGTTGTATCGCTGGAACAGGACGACGACGTTTCTTTTGCTGTCGTTGTAATTGCGGAATTGAGATTGTCAGAACATATACCTGGTATCTGCGTTTGAGAAAACGAATTCTTCGCCATTTGTGACGAGCTTACGGGTTTAAGTTGCACACTTCCATCGGGTACGGAATTATAATCTCCCCATAATTGTCCCGTTTGTTTTCGTTGCTGGCTTATGATACTTATGCGAGCTGTTGGTATTGGATTTGTCGCGACAGCGGGGTGAACAGTTGGAAGATTAGTACAAGAGCTTAAAAATTCTATATTCTTCTCCGTAAAGGACGATTTCGAATTTGGTGCAATATCGTTATTACTAGCTTTCGACACAAATTTTGGAGTTATACAACTTCCGGCACTAATAGCGGAGGGTGCTGAAATTTTATAATGAATTAATTTATTGGCGGCTGGTAAATTTCCACCAACATTGAGGACCTTTTGATGTGCACATTTAGGAGCTGTTATATTATTGACTTTTTTTGGTGCCACTTCCTTGTTTGTAGGGTTAATAATATGATATTGTATAGTACTGGCAGAATTAGATTTTGTGGAAGTTAGTTTATTTAATACAATTGGATTATTTTGGGCAGCAGTTGCAATTGTTCCGATAGCATTTGATTTTGATATAATCAAAGTTTGCTTCGACTGGCTCGTCATAATTGGCGATAATGTTGGTAATTTTTTTGCAGTACAGGGTCGGCTTACCGACGAAAATGTTGGCGTATTATTGCATTTTGTAGAGCTAATAACTGTATTTGACGCGTTAGCTGTTGTTTTCAAAGGCAATGATAGTTTAGATTGGGTAATTGGCTGCATATTTCTTTTCAGCAGAGAAGTGCCTGCTCCTGATACAATTGTAAGTGGTGGTGGCTGTGAATTTACTTTACCTGTTCCTATATTATTTGAAAATTTTGGTTTTGTTACATTTCCCACATAGTGGACAGATATTCTGTCGTTTTTTAAGGCATTGGCAAGTGTATTGTAACTGCCAGTAGTTAGTGCGTCATCTTCATATTTTTTAGAACAAATTGTAGGACACCGTTCGCGGTCAACATTTGTGCGACCATTTAAAGAGCGAATGCAATTAAAACTTTGCCCATCACCAGGCACAGCAGAGGTTAAGCAAACGTTAGATGTAGATGTAGTGCGGGTGCCATAAAATAAAGAATTAACGTCGGTAATGACAGGAGTAGAAGACTGGTTTGAGCAGATGTTACCGTTTACCGTTTCGTGCGTGAATGTAGGACTAAGAGAGACTACTTTGGAAATTAAAACCGAATTAATGGGCAGAGGTTTTTCAGGCGTTATTTCATTATTACATGAGGTACTGTTATTGGGTACGGAGATTGCGGGTAACGATGTCTCATGATTTACAAAGCTCGTATTTGAAATTGCTGATAAGTTTTGATTACGCGATAACACATTCGTTGGCAATTCTGTCAACCCTTGGATGGATGGGGAACATGGCAAAGAAAAGGGCTGCGGTGTAATTTGCAACGCTGAATCGTTGCTAATTGCCTGTATAGTGAAGTTGTAGCGAATCTTCTTTGATTCGTTTTGAACATCATCTCCCTGATCATCAATTATAACGCAATCTTGGTCGTCCTGTAACTTGATTATTTCTCGTTGTTTAGGGTCGTCGCAAATTTTTTGATTTCCGCCATTTTTTATTTGAAAGTTGTTCGTTTCTACAGAACTCTCATCGTTAATATTTACCTGTAAACGCACCCAAAATGCTGTAGTGCTTTCATTATCAACATTGTGAATATTGTGTTTTTCTTGATATAATTCTCTCATCATCATTTGACCATCAACGCTTTGCAATAGTATTAATAGAGGTTCCTTAACACCTATGTCGAAAGGTCCAACGTAAATTTTTCTTCCTGAATTGGGAGTAATGAACACATCGAAGTGGGCATTTAAAAAGAACTGCATTTTGATAATTTTCTGCTTTTGCTTAGCGAATGCCACCACTTTTTGTATGCGGTCTAAAGACAGCAGTTCTCGAAATTCAGGCACAAAAATATGTGAAAAATCATTCCGTAGATCTAAAACAAGCCATTTGTGGTTTTGTTTATGAATTTGTGGCAAGTGAAGATCATGTACATCGTTCGGAGTAATTTTTCGTATTTCGATGTTACTTTTCATTTTACTTGTTTCGTTGCCAATCTTTCCGAGAGAGGTAGGATTGCTAACATCGCTTATGCAAGCAAATGAAGAATTAAGTTTTCTTTTACGATTGTCTGTCTGTTCGTTTAATCGAGTTATTGATGAGGAAGGCGATTTATCTATATTACTAAAATTTTTCCGGGCTTTGCTTGCGTCCCTTTTGAACATTTTTAGTTTTTCCTCACGTATGCGTTGCCTTAGCAGTAGACAGCAGAGGACATTGATCTTCTTGGTTAATGCAGGACGATTTTGGGGATTTGGTTTAAAGCATGCGAATTTGGCCTCACCTCTTATGAATCCCTTAACTAGCCAATACGTGCTTTTTCCTTGCATTATCACGCCCAAATTATGGGTATCGTAATTGTAAAAAGTTGTCATTAACATACGAGCTATAAGAGGCAGCTTATCCACTTTAAGCGCCGTAATGTTAGCCACACCCAATGCATCCGTAACCAAAGGGATCACATTGGCGAGAGTCACTACTAGAAATGAAGGTTCATCTTTCATTTTTACTTGCCACATAAATAAACACTTTTGCGAAAAAGCAGTCAAAAAGTTTGACCATCGCACTATGCACAATATTCCACTTCTAGGCTGTGGTAACGTGATGCTGTCCCGTTTAAAAGCCTCAGATATATCATACATTTTTTTGCACACCATAGCATTCATGCAATGTATAACATCATTGTATAATGATTCGAAATCCTCGTTGGTCATATTTATTTCTCGAGCCAAAGCTAACATCGTCTTTTGGGCCGCCATTATTGTAGCCGCAGAAGGTTGCACGTCACTATTCGGCTCATTGATTGAAGTAGCCATAACAGGGTTTGCCGGTGTTAAATCCAACGAAAAAGTCTTGGAAATTTTTGGAAATTCGCACTCCTCTAATGAATTGTTGGGCCGAGCAAGCGACTGATCAATGAACAACTTGCCACCACTATCCTTATTGAGAGCAAACTTTTTAAGTGTTTTCGCAGAGGTTGCTTGTGGAGATTTTGGATTAACATCACGATCTTTCGCATCATTATTTATGTTACGTACTCCACTATTGTGGTCAGCTTGCTCGTCATCGTCAAGATCAATAACTTCACCTAGCTGATGTTCGTTAACATCATTAGCTGTTACTAATTTAGCTTTAGGTATATTGAAAAGACGTTGTAGTAATCTTTCGGTGTTTTCTTCTTCTTTGGCTTCTTCGGAAACTTTCTTTTGCAAATGTTGTGGCTGACCCTCGTTTTGGTGATAGTAGACTGAGCGCATAACGTGTTCATTGAGTAGTAGCCGCGTTTCTTCATTTTCATTGGCTTTTAAAAAGTCTAGAATATGCTGCTTTCTGCGACGATTACAATACAAGTACATTCGTCGCGGTATGGGCACCTGTCGCCGACACCATTCCCGTTTTGTGTGGTAGTAATGACGCTTTACATCCTCCAAGCTCCTTTTTCTTTTTCCACGGCGAACTTCATCACTAAAATCGTTCACACTTCTTTTGCGTATTTTAGATGGGATAGTGTCTGATGACTCCTGCGATTCAGCAATTTGTATTTTGTTTTTGTCCAGTTGACGTTTAGAACGCCAACTATCCTTTTTCTGTAGACTTATGCTCTCTATGTTATCGTGATTCTCCAAAGGCGTCTCCGTAAATCTTTTTTGGTTTTCTGTTTTTTCCAAGGATGGTTTGTCGTCAGAATTGGTATTATCCTTTTCACTCACAATATAATCCTTCGCAAGTTCCTCGTTTGCGTGATGAGTAATTATGGACGCACTTGCTTCTTCTTTTTCCATAATAAAAGGCTTTCCTTCTAAGGCTTTTCCTTTACAAAAACATTTGTATAATTCATGCACCATGCACCACGTTACCATGTTGTTTGCATCTTCCAATGGGACCAAATTGACGCTGCAGTGCTTTAGTTGATCCAAAATGATATCTTTAACAAGCACGTATTCTGAATCAAATGTGCTACCTGTTGCCAAGCAGGGTTTGTTACTGTCGATTGCAGTTAAAGTATTTAAAGACTTCGGTATGCATCCATTACCATCGTCATCTTTATTAGTAAAATATTCATACCTCTTCGGTGCTTTTGCACACCTACGTTTCTTATCGTTATGCGTTTCGTTTATTAGCAGTGTTTCGTTACCGGTAAGTACAACAGTAGAAGTGAACTCCTTCTCCATACGAGCCAATCTTTCTGTAGCTTTGCGACGTAACATGAAGGCATCTTCAGTTGTTATGGAACGCCCCTAAAAAAGGCATTAAAAATAATGATCAAAGTTTGAGCAGTTTATATGCACATTTGTTACATCGGTTTCTAGACGCATTATTCGTGAATGGATTGACGTTTTACAATTGCATTCAAGAACGCATTTTGCTTTTCCACAATGATCTCGCAATGGATGCCTACTTTCCAAACTAGAGCAAACACAACCGAAGGCGCAAAAATCCCTGTTACAGCGCCTCCCTTCTGCAATATTTTCAAAAGATTTTCTATTTATTCGAAATATCTAAATTATTTAGCATACCGTGGTCACTTTTAACAGCTGCGTCGATAATGGTGGCATTTAAACGTTTCAGCTCGCATCTAGATATTATTATAAATACAAAATTAAAAATTTGATTAAGGTGGAAAGTGATATTTGGCAAGAACTTACAATAAACGATTTTGTTTCCGATTTACAGTTGTATTGCATATTAACGCATTTGTTTTATGTGTTTGAGTGTTTAATTTTGTTTGCAACTCTTCTAAGGAATCAGCATCTACTAAAGCGTCAGGATCCTCTTTGATAAAAGAATTTTCGCTGCAGCTTATAGCAACCGTATTGACCATATCGCTTATCATGTCAGCGCAGTCTACAAGGACGGAGTCAGATTTATCTAGGTTGTGGCGAAAGGTGAAATCTTTTACAGAAAGGTCATCACTTTCACTGCGTTGTTTGAACATGTCATCCAATTTTTCAGAACGGTCTACAACGCGGCGTACTAAAACTTGATTGCGATCATTGTGGTAGGGTATTACAAAAGAAAACGATTTGCGCACTTTTGACGGACTTAGCGATTGCAAAGTTTTTTTCTCCGCTTCGTTGGAGGAATTAGGTAATTGAAGGGTAGATACACTAAATTCAGCCCACTGTGGAGATATGGCATGGTGTGGCAGTATGTATTGTAAGTAACGCTTAGCCACCTCGTGCAATGGTTTGCCGTGTTCAGGGAATACCTCGAGCTCAATAACAGGCATTTGCACCACAGCCACACTACCACCAGCTAAAAGCAAAGCTGCCATTTCATCATCCAGGGGTTTTTGAAATGGCTTATACGATAAAGGGCAAGGTTTAAACACACTCTGTAATGGATCATTGTTTAACTTCTTATTTTTCATCGCCACAGTCTTAATTGATTTGAAATTTTGCCACAATATTGCGTCCACGCAAGAAACATTACAAGTTTTAGATACGTTTGTAGCGTAACTTGTATGGGGTATTTTACGAAAGTTATCATTATTTCCTTGCACCCCTTTCAAACGCACTGAAAACTTGCCATCATCAACATCGATCATTTGAAAGTAGTATTTGTTAAAATCGGTATTCACAAATGAAGCCGCATGCCAACCATTTCGAGTAAAAGGCATGGATGAGTTCGCGGATTGGGCAAGTACAAGGCTTGCGCTCTTTGCTTTTTTCAAATGCAATTTCCGTTGCAATTCGCGATAAATGATAGCTTCATTGTTAATTATGGATAAGCGATGATTTTTAGAAAATTTCTGCAAATATTGCTTTCTTTCAGCTACAGTACGCAACTTCAATAGAGTTTCTGGCACGGCAGGCATATTAAGGAAAGGGGGTGCGGCTTTCATTGTGACTACGCCTTCTACATCAGTTTCTTTGAAATGTCGTTGTTGAATACTGGGATCTACGATGTAGTTAGTCTCCAAGGAATTCACTCTCATGTATTCATTTAAGATTTCACTGACGAATACTGAATTTTCAGTATTATTTGTGCTGAGTTGAGATGCAGCGGGTGTCATTGACATGCCTGACACACAATCTCCTTCATCAAATCCAAGAAACTCCTCTCCCGAGTCTACAGATTCCAAATTTTCATTTAAACCATCTTTGCCTAGCTTAAACGTTTCACGGCTATATCCCAAATCTTTGGTGCCCACTTTTCTCATAAGCATGTCTAGGAAAGTTGGGGTCGCTTTTTGCACGTTTACTGAACGCCTTTCCTCTTGCAACTGCCTTTTTTCATCTTGTCTAAACGCAACGCGCAAGCTTTCAAGCAAATTTGAACACGTCGATATCTCCGTTTTGTGATTTTTTTCTTGCCGTAAGTCAGATATTTCTGATTCAGTCCCTTCCTGAAAATCTTGGACAATAGATTGTGGAAAATTTTGTCGTAAAGAATTAAGTCTGCTATTTTTGCTTTCTGCATTGGAATCATAAATTTCTAAAGCTTCCGCACCATCTTTATATATATTCGAAACATTTTCCTGTAGTTCAATTAAAACATTCGATCTTTTTCCACTTTTTAATAATTGCAATTGTTTTTTCATCTGTTCAACAATATTTTCTCTTTTACTTTCCCGATCACAAATATGCTCTTCCACATATTCCTGTATACCCGTAGTTCGTCTGAGATAAGCAGTTACGCGCCTTGACCACTGTTTTATATTCTGCCGTACTTTTTGAAACAATTTTCGATGAGCTTGGTCGTATAATACCCTCCTTAGATGATAATACTCTAGAAAGACTCTGTTTTCTTTTCGTACTGCAAATCGCCTGATTATAATTCGCGGCCCTATTTCATACCATATAAACTTTTGAATATTAACAAAATTATACCGCAGGAATTCCAAAGAAACTTTATGCTTCCGTTGCAGCCTTTCAAATAAATGCCATTGCTCCTTTGTCAATTTAAACATGACGTCGCAGCTGTATGTTAGAATTCCATGAAATATAAATCGTCCGGACTATAAACGCTTATATTTAAATCCTTGAGCAGTAGATAAGCAACAAATATCCCAATTTTCAAATTAAAAATTAATGTTTGAGAGACTATATTCCACGGGTTCTCACGTAGCTTGCATATGTACTCGTTTATATATAAGAAATACCAAACTCACTGCTATGCGTTAAAAAATGGTTTTTGAATTCAAAATGTTTCATTTTCTACCGTTACACGCAGTGAAATGTAGCGTGGCAACCACAAAAAAATTTGTTATACATACACAATCTTGCCGCGGTTCATCTCATCAAGTCAGCTCTTTTATACGTATCTTACTACGTTATTAATAGTATGTTTTCACAAAATTTGTTCAGAAAATTCTTTCGCAATTCGTACACCCAAGCTAGTGAATTACATTATTATTCCAGGCACAATCTTTCTAGAATATTTGGGTTGCAAAAGTTATATCAGCTCAACCGAAAGTGGAACACAGCAAAAACACCCACTTTGCAAACGCCGCGTATGTGTGCGCATGTAGACACAGAAACAGAAAAATAACCTTAAATGAAAATAAACTTCGCACTTATCAAATTCTGGCCAGTCTTGACATTTATCCATGTATTGAAAAGCATTAAATCACTTTTGGAACTAATTTTAATTTCACAAGAAAATCCAAATATTTTCAGAGTAAATAACCGTAGTCGTGTGATCACAAATTCTCGCTGGTCTGACGTTTACTACACTTGTGTTTTAATTTTTACATCGTCTCTTTCACTATCTGTCACGATGCCAAACAATGTGTATTTGTATTCTGGCATTGTTAATTGGTTTGTGGGTTTGTATTTGGAATGGCAAGAAAAGAAACAATGTGGATTAATAGAATTAAGCGGGAATTTGTTGTTGATTTATATGTAAAAGGAGGAAACACGAATTAAGAAAGTGTAAATGGGCATAGATAAATAAAGTCTTTTATTTTCAATTGCATATAGAAATTATTTTCTCTATAATATGAAATGAAGCGTTACAATTTATTTTCATAAGAACATTTTAAAAGCAATATTTAACTAAAAGCAATTTAACTATATTAATCGTGATTCTTTTTTCAATGTAAAATTGTTTAATAATTGTAAGGTTACGATCAAAGTATTGTTATAGCATTATTGCTTAACAAGACTTATACTTATTTATTTAATATTTAGTTAAAATAATTAATGTAATGAAACTTGTTGAAATGTAAAACAATAAGCAGGACAACATTTGGCAACATAAAACAAAATTTCGAAAAATTATTCAAATACAAACCCTAGCGGTGTATGATAAATCACTATTACTTATAATGTCAATTCTCCGATGAACGTCCAAGTTTTCTTCCGGATTTTTTTTTAATTCGATCAAAACTCAACTGTACTTCCGTGGATCGCTTTTCCAATGAGAAAAGCACATTACATACCGAGGAAAACGTGAAATTGAAATAAACAATTCAATATAGGTACGTTTCTTACACAAACACACACACTTTCGCAAAGAAAAAAGTAATTAATCGGTGGTAAAACGGAAGCGAAGTTTTTTTTAAATAACTTTCACGGTATTTTTGTGCAACAGTACATTTTGAAAACGTTTACAATCAAAATTTAGTAAAGAAATAAATGAATAAGCTCTACTTTTACCTCTTGTGAAAACACGAATTACAGAGGCTGCGTTTTGCAAAAACAAAAATTAGCCGTTTTGACAGTATGTTTCTATTTACATAGAATCACAAAAGCATATGTACAGGCAAATAAAGGGAAGAAGAATTATCAACGTTGCTGCCATAAAATAGAACGTAATGGAAAACAACCAAAACCAGTGTTGAAAGAAAAAACAAACAATTACAAAGCAATATGAATGTTAACATGTATATGTGCACCAAATGCTAAAATGTGACAGTTTTCACAAGGATTTCACCAAAAATTGCTTAATTGATGCTTGGAGTTGAGTGTCATCAATGGTATGTTCTCAGCCTAGAACCTATTATATTTACACGTAATTAGATTATAAAAAGAATAAAATTTGAAATTAGTTTTATCATCGACAACACTTCCACCCACGCTATGCTAAAGTTAATTGTAGTCTTTTTCCACCATTTTATCAACAAATCTTGAGGAAATCATAACATTTGCAAGAATTCGGTCTCTATAGAACAGCAATGAGCCAAGAAATTTCCCCTTCAGTCTGTAATTGCGTGCAAAACCTTAGAAGTAAATACACACAAAATCTTCAAATTCGGGACGAGTAAAGTTTATTCAATTGTATTAAAACCATTAAACTAACCACCGCGTCTTTTCTTTTTTATCAAAGCCTTGTCTTAGCTGCCACCACCCATCTTAATTTAACTGAAGAATTTATATCCGATTCTTAATATATATCATGCATATCTCATTATAGCTATTGCTATGTTAAATGAAGCAGAGATGGATGCAGATACCATTGAAATTTTTTTTTCGCTATAACGTAAGAAATGGGTAAAATGTGTGATATCGCTGAAACAAATTCATTTTCACACAGAGTATGCTTGCTCAATTAACAATAATCTTTCATCTAGCAAAACAAATTATTGCGGAAAATCTCATCGTTTTCAGAGAAGTGTTTTTAATGTGCAAGTTCGTATTTTAGCACATTACACACTTTTCACTTCCAATAATATTTGGAAAATCGGTGAAGTCAAGGATTTATTAAAAAACACTCCAAATTTATTAGTATACATAAGAATAATGAAAACTTGTGAAGAAATCCTTTTCAAAGTGTTTCTATAACAACGCTCATTGAAAGTATTGAAGTGCGCGAAAAATAACACAGTTTATATAACCTAGTGAGTGTTTGTGTATAGAGCTATTTATTGCGTTTTCCGAGATTATATAATTCTTTTCCGACCTCGTGTGACATAAAATTTCGAAAATTTCACATTAAATTTCATATTAATTTATTTATTATCTTATATACATTAACGTAGGGCATAGTATAAAAAAATTACATGGTAATTGAACTACCATCCACTCTAGTTAGAGCAAATTTGCTTATTGCTGTTATTGCTGCGACTTCCAACTTATATCTATATACAATAGAAAAAGCATTAGAGAAGTCAGATGGGAAAGTGGTAGATCCATCTATGCGGTCCATATCCAAATTCCACTACCGATCCTGGAAGTAAACAAAACCTAATAACAAGAGAAAACCGTGCACGTAACTAGAGGTGTAATGTGATTATCAGCAGGACCTATTTTGTTCGAGTTAATTGTTGCTGCGCTTTTATGTGAATCATGTCACAAAAATCAGAATCCCTCTGTCATCATTAATGAAGTACTTTAGTCCATAGAAACAGGTACCAAATTCAGCAAGAGTTATGCTACTCACCTCATTTCTTATTAGTATCAACTAGAACAATTTCACCAATCTGAAAATAAACAAACCCTACTCTGACTTATTGCAAAATATTTTCAACTTTTGTAATTAATACTATAAAAATGATTGAGGACTCAGCTTTTATACTTACCACAAATTAAGAAAAGTTTTTAAGACTTTATATATCGTGCACGCACTTGATCCACGCAGAAATAATTCAGCCTGTTCCTTAAAATAAGATCTGCGTCGTAAAAAATAGTCTAGAACATTTCAGTCATAGATATAAAAACCAAAATAAAATGCAAAGAAAAAATTTAATCGAAAAGTGCAAAAATAAATTGAATTCTTTTAATAAACATATCGCGGGTCAAACGAGAGTGTACTAGTGTTTCTTTGAACAAACCTTAAGACAATACGCAATGTGTTCCTTTTAAATTCGTAACACTGCTACATTACAGTTATAGCTTATTACCACTTGCAAATTTTTAATTATATCAACAATATTAAAACAAACACTTACAACTTTAGATTTGGGTATTATTTATAACAAGCGATTAACCGTTTGAGTACCAAGCAGCGCGATTGCGCTGCTCAGATATCATGTCGAGAAATACCAGACAGTTTTGGTAAAACACTGTCGAAGAATCCCAAGCAGCGCGATCGCGCTGTTTAGGTTTGATGTCGAGAAATACCAAGCGGCGCCATAGCGCTTGTTTAATTTTATCTATTTAAATGCATTTAAATTGTTTGTTAATAAATATTTCAAGTTTGTTCCACAAAAATTATAGAAAACAAAACACCAAAAAAGAAATTTTTATTTTGTAATATATTATTGCACTACTATAGTACTATTGTAATTGTATTGCGCTCGACTTCGACAATACGTTAGGCACCGTCAGTTGTCGACAATGCTCGAAATGTGCTGGGTTTTCTCGACATAAAATCTAAACAGCGCGATCGCGCTGCTTGGGATTTTTCGACAGTATTTTTTCAAAACCGTCTGGTACTCAAACGGTTAATCAGTTAGGGGCGAAAGATTATTTCTCATCATTTATTTATTTATTTTTGCAGAAATACAAGAAAAGCCCTTAAAAGGCTGAGAAACTTACCTTTAAAATATTAGTTCCCGCACATTATTTCGGAATAATCTTGTCTGTAACGGAAAAGAACATATACACTATTAAATTCCGATTTGTATAAAGTTTTT